CATCTATTGCACGTCTGTCCGTCCTGGAAGAGGGATCCCTCCTCAGTTGCTCTTCCTGAGGTTTCTACCGTTTTTTTTTCCCCGTTAAAGGGTTTTTTTTGGGGAATTTTTCCTGATCAGCTGTGAGGGTCATAAGGACAGAGGGATGTCGTATGCTATAAAGCCCTGTGAGGCAAATTGTGATTTGTGATATTGGGCTTTATAAATAAAATTGAATTGAAATTGAAGAGGAAATTTAACTTCTCATGCACGAAAATAAACCAAACTTGGCACATAGGTCCAGTCCCATGATGAAACTCCTCAACGGGACTCTTGGCCCCCAATGGGAATTGGGGGCCAATAGTCCTGATGGTGACAGCAGCTGTTTAAAGTTCAGAACTTTGAAAATTCATATCAAAACACCTGTATGGCCTATGGCTTAGCAGCTTTCACCAAACTGTAGGCCCAACTGTGAAGACACTTTTGTTAACTCAAACCTAGAGCACATTATGAAGCCCATCACTCCGTTTTATCAAAAACTGTAAAACTAATTAAAGCTTCTCAACCATTTTTTGCTCAATTCACACCAAACTTGCTCCCTCTGCATCTTCAGACTGTCTTACACAAACGCATGGGACACATTGATTGAAAACTGAGCCCACAGTGCATCAAAATGTGTCACTGTAAACAGCACTGTAAACAGCTGCTGCAAATTCTCACTCAATAAAGGTCCAATTTTCATGAAAAAAAGTTGTTAATATTTTGCTGTCGGGGTAGATAAAGTGCGTTAGATTTCAAAACTGTATATGAAAAACTGAATTTTGTAAGCATTTTAAATTCTGCCATCATGTAGCCTGTAGCACTCAATGGAAAAAGAGCATCTTTAAGCATCATTTTTTCACTTACGAATCAATCTTTGTAAAAATATATTCCACATGTTTTCTATGTTGTCCAGATGAAGTATGCAAATTCTCATAATTTTGTCTTGATAGCTACATTTTTGACACTAGTTTGAAATCTGCCTGTAAATACATGTACAGCTGTTATGCTGTACCCTGGTGGTTGGCTGTATCATAGTGTGAAGTCACCTCTAAATTCTATGCCTGTGAGGTATCTTAACTTGATAACAACTTGCCATTGGTGCTGTGAGGCTGTGAGTCCAAGTCCCGGATGGAACAGATTAAACATGCTTTTGCCTCCTCAGACCTGCTGTGTGGGGTAGAAACATATGATTTTTGGCCCACAAAGTTCTACTGATGGATGCTCATTGATTTGTTATTTGTCTTCCTTCTCTTCTTTCTTTTCCTCTTCCTTATCCTCCCCTTCTTCTTCTTTTCTTATTATTCTTCTTCCTCCACTTCTCCATAGGTACGTTTAGCTTAGCTATTAGGCTTTACAGTTTGTTTATCCATAGGGGTTTCCCAGCACAGATAGCTCAACTGGATCACAATTAGTCATGGGAGTGAGGGGGTTGTCAGTTGAAGTCCTGAATGACACTAATGTCATATAGTTTTGGCATAAACCATGTAAGTCTTTACATGCAGTACACATGTGTTATTCTCACCTATGTGTATTTGACTATTTCTGCATACTGGGGTCTCCAATTTATGTAATCTTCGGATTACATAAATTGGACATTACAAGCTCTGTTTTTGGTCTCCACCAACTCCTGATGGAAATATTTGGCTATTTAGCTGCTAAATGCTGCATGTTCACCAGACAGTTGCTAACTTTTTTATGTGCTGTTTAATGCTGGACAGGTAGTGTACAGTGAATATATCAAATAAAGTTCATAATTGAAAAGAGCTCCCTGTTGTTGCTGGAACTGATGAGAGCAGTGAGACTTAACCCACAATGGAACCAAAACAATGAGCTGGGAGATGCTAAATGCTCAGTAGAGCTGATGGCAACTGCAGAAATAATTTTCTGAGTTCATCAGTAAAAGTGATCTCTTTCACATTAAACATAGGCCTTTAATCTATGGAAGAAATAAATATACTGATAAGTGCAGCTTTGACCTAGGGGGTGTTAGTTTCATGTACTCACTGGGGGAGAAAAACAGTTTGTCGTTACACTCCTCTTCATCAGTACAGGAGCAGAAGTGAGCCATCCCACTTGTTGTGTTCTTCTCCTTCATCACACAGGTGGAGCTGTTGTAGTCATCCAGCATAACACCATAGAGCAGCTTGGATGGGTCATGACACAGAGTTTCAATGGAGAAGCCTGTCTCATTCTTCCTCCTACAGACAGACAGACAGACAGTCAGACAGACAGACAGAACCGAGATGCAGTTATTAAAACTGTATACATTAACATCCATTTAGTTATCTTGTTAAATCCAATCTAAAAGATGAAGGCATTGTTCCGCTGTCTAATACCTACCAGATAGAGACACAGACCTCGTTGCTGTCCATACAGATGGAGGTGATGGAGCAGTTGGACATGCAGGTCCCTGTACCACTACAGGAGGAAAGCTCCAGATCACAGAACTTACAAAGTTGACTCATTGGGTAAAAAGGCGGCATACCTGCAGAGGACCACAAAAGTATCCATTAGGTTGGCTTAATGTTTCAGACAAGTTCTGTCATAGTGAAAATACAGCAATTCTTAATGCCAATTCTCTGACAGTGCAAAACTCTTGCTCTGTTTGAAGCAGAAAAATGTTGATTGGTTAATGAATAAATTATGCAACAAATGGTGAGAGAAATATATTTAACTTTATTTTGATTTGATTTCGCTTTATTATCAGAAATATGTTTTCCAAAATTTGTTTTGTATTCAAAACATACACAGTTTCACATCGATACAAAAGTACAAAACACAACACTTAACCAAACAAACAAAACATACTACAAACATGTATCACAGCAGACATTATCAAAAAGAACTTCATTTAAAAGCCTAGTCCCAATTAGTCCCTTTTACTAGCCCGGTGTGGCTACACATTTTGCAGTTCAGCGGTTCGGCTATAAAGTCTACAACTACTTTGAGCAAGTGAGGATCAAGCATGTCAGGACCTGCAGATTTGTTTGGATCTAGTTGCTTTGATACTATAAACCCCCAATTACATTTCCAAATTAAGTTTTTATTGTTTACCAAAACTTCTTATGCTAATTTGAGTTCGTGGTAATTTCTGAAAGATAGATCTCAGATTTTGCCTTTTTGAGGAGAAGGATAAAAAGATTTGGAACTGTCTAAAGATCAGCTAATCAGCCTCTAGATTGCCTGGGTTAAGGCCACCCTTTCTTTTAGTAAAAAGTGTGAAAATGGTCAAATGCCCTGATGAAGGCCTGTATGGCTGAAATGCGTAGGCGTTTCTAAATGACTTTGTAAGCCCATTTAATAAAGGCTTTTTATAAATGTCCCTCTGAGTGCCTCAGATTCTTCCTTTTGAAAATCCCTTCCTTTTAGCAGTCTGGACAGCTGTGGGGAAAATCAAGGATTGTTACGGCCTTTCACTCTAAATTTGCAGCATTGAGCATTTTTATTCATAATTTTAGTGAAAGCATCATGAAAGCTATGGAAGCAAATCGTGACTAATATTTAAATTAAAATGTATTTGCAGAAATGCTTTTTCATTTTAAGAATGTGGCTGCATTATTTGATTCATAAATAAAATAAATCATCAATCATCCTATTTGCATTTTAATTTTCTTCAAGACTGCTCATTCTTTTACTTAATTAAAATGAAAAAGAAAAAGTCATTTGAGATTTAATTTTCCAAATATGCCCCAGCAAATAGATACCAAAATTCAATTTGAAATGTAAAATTTGAAAATTAAAATGCATTTGCAGAAATACTTTTTTTAAAGAATGTGGCTGCATTATTTGACTCATAAATAAAATGAATAATCAGTCAACCTATTTGCATTTGCATTTTCTTCTTCAAGACTGCACATTTTATGCCATAATCAAAAAGAAAACAAAGAGGACATTGCTATTTCATTTTCGTGGTCTACCCTGCAAAACAGTGCCCATAATTCGTAATAATCATAATTGCTGACCGTGCTACCCATCTAATACGGTAGGTGGCGGTGTGCACATTTGATATATGGATGCATCACAGATCATGGCGCTCCCTGAGATTGTGCTTTCTAAACATTGTAATTTCCCAAAACTGAATAAATACCACACATAGCAACACAAAACTGCTTTGCTAGCTCAATCATGTTGTAACTAAGATATCTGCTGGAAAAAAATATTTTTTCATGGACTGTTCATTGAGGTACGGAGTTAATACATCTGCTGACTTGACAGTCATTTAAGCTAGTAGCAGCTTATACTTGTACTAATAGCTTATACTTTGTAGACATCATGATTTCCCAAAACTGAATAAATACCACACAGTCCAGCAACTTTTCCAGGGGAAAACCCTGTGACATTGACACGTTAAATAATTTTCATACATACAAAGCTGCTTAATATAATTTAGATCTGCCCTGTAAAAGTGTGTGTTTAGTGCACTGAATGAGTGTTTGGTGCGAAGAGGACCTTACAAGTGAGCGCACTGTGTTTTCTTATGACAAGCAGTTTTTGTGCATACGCATGGGTCAGAGCTTCTGTGGAAGATTGCACATTTTGGGCTCTAGTTTCGCAGACTGGGCGAGGCAGGGGCGCAGCGCACCTGTGCTTCGCCAACTGGGTGTGGCCAGGCAGATTTTGCAAGTTTGGCACACCGTGCGCGCTGGCGCAGCTACTCGTCTGTCCCACCTCCGTCCCTCCTACCTGCACAAGTCGGAAAGACGGAGGAGAGAAGGCGTGGAGTGGGTTTTACACACATCACACCAATCAAATGAGCCCCTCTCCTCGCCCTTAAATGCGCCACGCGAAGGCGTAATGAGAGTTTACTCAATTCGCCATGACAGAAGAGAGCAGCAGTGTCAGACAGCCAAACTTCTCCCAGGAGGAAACTGATGTTTTGGTCCGGGAGGTCCAAGCTCGCAGTGTCCGAATATACGAAACTGCAAGCAGACCTCCACGAGCTGATGATGCAAAGGTAACCTGGGAGGAGGTCACCACGATTGTAAATCAATGTTGCGTTTCTCTTGTGCGTGCATGCACTTTCTCTTTCTCTCTCGCAGTCTCACTCTGTTTCTTTTCTTTTGACTTTTCTAAGATGACAGATGCTGAATATATACTCCCTATCTGATGCTGTGGCTGTTTGTGGTTGGCTGAGAGGGATGTGAACTCATTAGTTTGCAGCTGTGTTAATTAAATCAGGTTGGGTTTCCATTACGCGTGCCAAACGTGCCAAACGGTGCCAATCCCCTTTGATCTGACATCAGATGTGACGGGACAGTCGATATAGAGATACATTTATGTGCTGATTGCAGATAGTTGCATTGAATAGTGGTTTTTTGGGTATTTATTGCATCGTTAATGTGCCTGATATTCTGGAAACCTGCCTGTGAGGTTTTGGTGACGTGAGTGCACTGTCCGCTGGTCAGCCAAACTTCGGCTTACACCGGCTGCGTCCCACCTGCGCTGACAGTAGACGTGGTTTCAGCTGGCGAGCTTTTAGCGCACCTTCGGCGAAGCCTTTTGGCACAAAACTGTCACTGCGCCAAGCTGGATCTGTCGACACCTCCCCCTGCTGCGCCGCCACACCCATCTCAGCGCACCTCAGTCTGCCAAACTACCAAACTGAGCGCGCCTCAGGTTGCGCTGCTCGAAACTAGCTCTGCGCGGGGTTCGCCACCCTGTGCCACCCTGTGCTGCGCTGGGAAATTAGAGCCCTTTCTCTTTAAGTTTGTGTTTTATAAATCCCAAAATTTGCATAGAAAGTGGTGTATGCCGCCTTCTGTGCGTACACCACATTTATAAATGAGGCCCTTCAGACTTGAATCAGTCTGTCTTGTCTGGTATCCAAGTTATACTCAATGATATTCATTGTTTTGAAGTTTTGTGCAATTTGTTCAACAAGTCATTGAAAATTCCTGCTGCAAATACCTAAAGAGACAGATTTACTTTGGTTCAGATCATACTGTAACTAACGTACTGTACATCACACAGTAGGTTGGAACCACAGGAAAACATCAGCTGCCTGATTGTAATCAGGTCAGAACTATAAAAAACTCTCAACACAGACAGCCACAACCAGGGAAACACCTCAACTAGGCTGCACTGTGGGTGACTATATCAATCAACTACTTCAAATGTGCTGGATGGGGCCTAAGGAAACCATTGAGCTATACAAAAATAGGCCACAACCACACTCAACCACTAACACAGACAACCACAGCTGAATCAATAGGCAGCCTGTGCCAAGCTACAGCAATTTCTCACATCAACCACTTTAGATACATAACCCAAAAACCCCACGGAATCTTTTAATGTGCCTCCAAAAAGACCTTGCAAAAGGATTTCCTAAAAGAAGCAATACATTAGGTTCCATCTTTTTAAAAGTCATTCATGCATTAGAAACAGGTTGTTTTTATGTTTTCTGATCAGTTGTCAGTGCTCTAGATTGTCTGGACTTAACAAATCTGTCACCTGGGAAGTCAAACCCATCTGACAAATAATTCACAAGGTCTGCTAAAGCATATCTAACATGGCTTGTAAACATAAGCACAGACTTAAAAGTGGTAATGACCTTGTTTCTCATTTACTGGATATTCTTTTTATGTTTAACAGATTAAAGCTAATGTCATCATTCCATTCCTCAGACTCATATTAGAGGAATAATTAGCCCTGAGGTACAGTTAGATTGTATATCATTACCCCGGCTGGTTGGAAGGTGTTGTATGTGGTGCAGTATGTTGCCTGGGCTGGTAGTGTAATCAGTATAATCTTATCTCTGTCATTCTCCTCAGCATGACTTCAGCTGCATATGCCTCTGTGATCTCCCTCTGCTCTGTGACCTGTTCAGACCTGCCTCTCTGACTCCGAACCCCCCTGACTGATTGCCAAGGCTATGTAAGAAACCCGAGTAAGCCATGTTAGCCTGTGTTAGGCTGAATGTCTCACAGCTTTCATATGCCTTTTTATGCATTTTGGAGTCTAGAAAGGAAGGTTTCTCTTTGTGGACTTTAAGTTCAAATTAGGCGGACCTACAGAGTGGGATAGAAGCTCTGTATAGTATACAGGGGTTGTGGTGCAGAAAGGTGGTATTAGAGTTGAGGTGGGAGATCTGAGTTTAAGCCTCTGTGTCACCTAGTGTCTGCCCTGGTGCAGCTTCACTGAACAGTACACTGAATTCCTTTCTGCTCTGTGCCATGTTTATCAGCTTTTCCTGTGCTTTTGGTTGAAATGAACAGCAGTGACTGGTTCTGGTTCAAGTCCTGTTGATGCCCAGGCCTGCAGCTGTTGCACAAGCTCCTTTAGCTTGATGCAATGATTCAATGAGAGTTTAATTCTGAAAATTGAACTAGTTGCAACAATTTGAACCCTTTGTGATTTGACCTCCTGGGTGAAAGTCAGTGGTTGTTGGACCCAGCCACCACCCCCCTGCCCGCCCTACTCAGACTTCCATTGCCTTAACTTCCATTGTTGTCCCACTGCATTTCCCCTTGATGCTGTAGGGTGCCA